CCAGTCCATGGACACGGAAGCGGAGCTGCAGTTTCGCCCGCGGACGGGGAAGGCGGCCTCGGCCCCTCTTTTGCCGGAAGTGGAGACCTACCTCCAGTTGCTCCTTGTCATCTACCTGATGAACAGCAAGCGCTACCCGGAGGTGAGATTCCCCTGGCCGCCTCTGGAGCGCCTCCGGAGCCTGCCTGTCTGCAGCCCCACCCTCCCCGCTTCACTCCAGCTGCGTTTGGGGACAGCCCTGGGGCTCAGTCCCGTCTCCCGGGCCGCAGTTCCTCTGCTCTGAGCTCTGTGCCCCCGCTGCAGGCTCAGAAAGTGTCCGATGACCTGATGCAGAAGATCAGCTCCCAGAACCGCCGCGCCCTGGACCTGGTGGTGGCAAAATGTTATTACTACCACTCCCGCATCTACGAATTCCTGAATAAACTCGACGTGGTCAGGAGGTAGGATGGATCCTCTCCCGGAGCTTGATCCTGCGTGTCCCGGTGAGCCGGGCTGTTTCCTCCAACGCGCTCTCTCTCCCTTCCCTGCAGCTTCCTGCACGCCCGGCTACGGACGGCCACGCTGCGCCACGATGCGGACGGGCAGGCCACGCTCCTGAACCTGCTGCTGAGGAATTATCTCCACTACAACCTTTACGACCAAGCAGAAAAGCTCGTCTCCAAGTCCGTGTTTCCCGAGCAGGCCAACAACAACGAGTGGGCTCGGTACCTCTATTACACAGGTGAGATGCCGAGGGTCCCGCGCGGCGCCGGGCCCGGCGTCGAGGGCTCTGGTCCCGGCGAGAAGCTGTTGGAGCAGCCGGAGATGGGGCTGCCAGGCAGGGTTTGAAGCCCGCTCCGCGTGGATCCAGCTGGATTCACATCGCGCGGTGGCTTTTCCGAGCGCAGGGCGCATCAAGGCCATCCAGCTGGAGTACTCGGAGGCGCGGAGGACCATGACGAACGCCCTGCGGAAGGCGCCGCAGCACACGGCCGTCGGCTTCAAGCAGACGGTGAGCGGGAACGGGAGGTTTGTGGGATCCAAAAGCTCCCGGCTCCCCAGGGAAGCTGCCTCGGGCTTGGGACTGACCATCTCCTTCTGCTCAAGGTGCACAAGCTGCTCATCGTGGTGGAGTTGCTGCTGGGGGAGATCCCGGACAGGCTGCAGTTCAGACAACCCTCTCTCAAGCGGTCGCTCATGCCCTACTTCCTCCTGACCCAGGGTACGACCCCACGCTCCGTCCCTCTCCGCTGTCTCACGGCGTCCCGCGCTTCCAGGGAGCGGGAATCCCCTGGGGAGGGGCGGCGGGGGTTTCTCCCTCCGATGGGACGCGGCTCCGGGCTCTGTGTGGGGAGGAGGAGGGGAGGGCAGGCCTGGGAATCGCCCTGCCCCGCATGCCCCGACCCTTGCTCCTCTGACGCGTTCCCCTCCAGCCGTCAGGACCGGGAACCTGGACAAGTTCAACCAGGTCCTCGACCAGTTTGGGGACAAGTTCCAGGCCGACGGCACTTACACCCTGATCATCCGTCTGAGGCACAACGTCATCAAGACGGGTAGGGGGCTGTTCGGGGACCCCCATGGTGGCCGCTGCCGCAGGCTTGGCGGGGCCGGGGCGGCCCGGGCCGGG